GTTGTGCTGTAGGATGCCAAATTCGAAACTGCCTTCGTACACCACTGTACACCACACTGCTTTAATGCCAACTGCAGACGTCTTTGTCTAAAAGGGAGCTGAATGAAGTGACGTCCTAATTAGAAATACTCGACTCTGCAGTTCTCATTTCAAATCAGGTAAGTTCACGATATGCTGAATCATACATGTTATTTGTTTTTGATTGCAGCAATGATTTCAGCAAACGCAATTAAATATGGTTTATTAAACTGCGGACAATGAATGCTGAGAATGAAACGGACAAATGTACGTTCACATACCCTGCCATACAGGTGCAGTTCGCTGTCAGAATGCAGTTGTTTTGCTTGTTGATGATTAATTACCCAGGCCTTGTACAGTTCCGTCTCCTTTCCTTGTCTTTGGCTAGGCAGAACCTCGGTTTTTAGTACTACAAAGTTTTGAATCTGGTAATCATGGAACATTATTTCTTGCGCATGACCACACATTCTAAGACTTGTAGGCCTTTAACTTCTCCCTTGTTAAAACACTTGGAGCTTCAATAAGACTGTATACTTGGGGCTGGATGCTTGGCCATTATCCAAAATTCAAAAAGAGTTTCCTTCGTAGGGTGGCAGGGCGCACTCTTATAGATAGGGTGAGGAGCTCTGTCACCCGGGAGGAGCTCGGAGTAGAGCCCCTGCTCCTTCACATCGAGAGAAGTCAGCTGAGGTGGCTTGGGCGTCTGTTTCGGATGCCTCCTGGACACCTACCTAGGGAGGTGTTCCAGGCATGTCCCACCGGGAGGAGACCTCGGGGAAGACTCAAGACATGCTGGAAGGACTACATCTCTTGGCTGGCCTGGGAACAACTCAGGATCCTCCCAGAGGAGCTGGAGGAAGTGTCTGGGGAGAGGAAAGTCTAGGGTTCTCTCCTAAGACTGCTGCCCCCGCGACCCGGCCCCGGAAAAGCGGCAGAAAATAAATGAATGAATGAATGAATGAATGAATGAGTTTTAGATTACAAGGGCAATTTTTTCCCTGAATGAAAAAGATAAATTGTTCACCATAAAACTAGCAAGGCAAACTAACAAATTCAACATGGTTAGCTTTGATTTCATGTGCACTTTAAAACAAACAAAATAATCTGCCAACGGGGTAAGAAAATAACCTTGTTTTTCCTATTGACACAAGATTATTTTGCTTTCCCCATTAGCATTTCGACACTATTTCTTAAAACACAACAATATGTTTTGCTTGTCTAGAAAACGCTTCTTGATTTAAGAATATTTAGCTATTCGGACTAGAAACAAGAGCAATAATCTAAGTAAGAAAAGCATGTGGAGAGATATGGCTGTAGAGGCGAGGTAAGGACAAATGTGACAAACCCCAGACTAATCAAGTAGATCCAGGGGAAGTTGAGTCTCTAAGCAAGGAAGACGACTGTCCAAACGTCTCATCCACCAATGACCATTCTGGATGACTTCAGCAACAGTACGGCCAAAGAGGAATGGAGCCTTGGATCTCGGACAGCCATCTGTCAGCCAATAGCACTGGCTCCACAACTATGCAAACGCACTGTGCTCTCTGGCTGTCTTGTGTTGCAGCACATTTAATTAAGAGCCATCTTACCAGATTTACAGCAGCGTGTTTGTGTGTCTTAGTCAGGACAACACCCGGCAGATTAGCAGGATTGGTAACTTCATACCCCTGAGGGTCTGGACAGAAGCGCTCCGTAAGCCTGATCTCAGACAAGGTCTTGCATTACCGGCGCAACAGCAAGAGGCTGGATTTTAGTAGCAAGGACCAGTGTTGGGAGTAACGCATTATAAAAGTAATGTGATTATTGTAGTATACTAATGTAATCAGTCCCACTTTGTATTAAATGTCCTTAACTCCTATGTACTTTAATCAGAAAATAATTACAATGCCCTTACTGAGTTTATAACGTATTGCAGAACACTTCTGGTGCTCTTGAGGTGGGATAGGGGTAGAGTTAGGAACAGGTTTGGTGTATGGGTTTAAGGGTGGATTAAGGTTTAAGGGATGGTCAACAGTGTAATTAATGATGTAATTATGTATTTTCAGTGTAAGCCAGAGATGTATAGTAACGAAGTAGAACTACTTCACTACTGTACTTAAGTACTAAAAGGCAGTATCTGTACTTTACTGGAGTATTATTTTTTTCTCCTACTTTCACTTTTACTTAAGTACATATTTTCCATGAGTTTAATACTTTTACTCCGATAGATTTTTTATGTGCTGCATCGTTACTCGTTACTAGGGGTGTCAAAATGATCGAAATCAGTTCAGTAATAGGTCATAACCGGTGATTACGTGATGACGTCATTTATCTCCTATGCGCGATGTCGCAATACTATGGCGGAGGACGGAGGCGCGAGTGAAGGCGGCACACGAGCCGCTAATTTACTATTAGGGAGAAATGTTGTAAAACTTCACCTCTGCCTCTCTCTTTCTCACTTTGGACATTTGACCCGCTGGCCTGTTTGTAAGGTAACTTTCCC